TGGAATTTATGCTTAAAAAACGCAAAGAAAAGTAATGTAAAAAGAGAAATTGAGGTTTTGCTTTTTGGACTGTCATAGAAACTAATGGCTTTCGGTCCGTTCCTAATCAGCGGGAGTGAGTAAGCATAAGATTATATTCGACGCATCGGATGGGGCTGTGAACCGCGTTCCAAGATATGGTCCGCTGAGAACTTCCTTCTCTACTTCCTCATAACATTATCTTCTTCCTTTCACTGTCATGTGTTCCAAACTTTTTATCTCCTTAGGGTAAGCATTCAACTTCATTCAATATCATACACAATTATATATAGTTTTAAGATTTTACAATTTAGTGTATTTTTGCAAAATCCTCCTACAGTTGACACATCTAAAAGAAGGGGGTGTGATATCTCCTCAACATATTTGTTGTTCACTAAAGCATATAATTGGATCCCACATCCAAAACATTACTTCGGACCTTTACAAACACCAAGTTACTAAACTATGTTTATATAATTATTTAAAGGGTAAACAACTTCAATTGTCACTAATGTTTGGGTAAGTTTTCATTTTCACCACTGATGTTTTAAAAGTTACAAATCGGTCACTAAAGTTATCGTTTGTTATAAATTGGTCACTCGTCAATAATAAGCGTGACGGAAAACACACGTGACCTGTTAACAGTAGTTAACAGGCTTACCTGGATGGTATAATTACACAAATAATCCATGTTATTTATATATTCTTTCAATTTGATCCTAGTTTTAATAAATTAAAATATATTTATTTTTAATTCTTATAAATAATGATATAATTTTATACAAAATAATTAAATTTTTTTAGTTATAAAAACAAAAAAATTAATGTGATGATACTATTATTATTGATATGATGAAAAATTAATAAGCGCATAGGTTATGAAATTGTTTAGGGAATGGACCAAACTGCATCCAAAGTGACTCATGATGATATCATCGACACCAAGTAAATTTTTGAAGCCCCTCCCTCTTCCATGATTCAAGAAAAAAAAAACTTAATTTCCAAGTAAATTTCTGTCCAAAATTTTAATTTAATATTACTTGAAGTGATCTGAAAATATAAATTCCAATATTCAAGCTAATAATAATATACCAGACAAAAGTTCCATAGTATGAAATGATAAATTTGTGAATGCACATTTATGTATTTCCCAAAAAGATGTTATACCGAAGCACGAGGAAATACAGGAATATTAATAATGTTAAGGGGCTCTCAATAAGACGGCATAAATCTATTTATAAAATATTTACAAGCATTAGAAATCGAAATCCCTATGGCTTTTTTTGCAGATAGAGGCAATCAGAGCTCCAAAATGAATTAGCTATAAGCAACAATTTACACCACCTAATGAATTCATCGTGATTAAAGCAAATGCAGTCGTATCATCGGATATAACACGAGCTGAAAATTTGCTTTTCCTCGGGCAGAAGCCAGACCTTCGGCCGATTTATTTTTATTATTTCAAATCTATCTTTCGGATGTATTCAATTTGTTTTTGTTTTGTGGTTGAAATGAATTCTATCACGAATCTATAACGACCTAGTTCGACTTGACGATTATCGGAAGAAAAAAATCTCCATTAGTTACCCAATATGTAAAGCTCTCGAAATATTCATCGATGATATCATCACGAGTCACGGCATCTTTGAAGTAAGCTCGTCTCCAAGTAAGTTCCATGAACGACAAACATATTTGGCTTGAACAAGATCATCGAAACTTAACCTGTTGAAGATTGATCTCAAGATATGCGCAGGAAGTTTATCAACCCTTGATGCTAATGGCGATTCCTTTCTTCTTTTTGTCATGGTAGCTTGCACCGTCATTGAAATTTGAAAAGGAAAAAAAACCGCAGGGTTCTTTTTTTCCAAATTGTGAACGGTATTTATAAGTAAAGTAACTTTTGTTCCAAGAAACTTGAGAAATATATTTTTAGGTTTATATCATAAATAATTACTTAAAGTATATTATATTTTTCATTGAAGCACCTAAAATTATCATTTTGGTCAAATTAGGTACCTAAATTATACTATCATTTTCATTTAAGTAGCTAATTTGTGCTTTAATTAATCCATGTGTCAATTTTTTCAGAACTTAAATGGAAAAAATTGAATATTTGAAGTACGTATTTTGATCAAAAAATATTTTATGTATACATTTTAATCGAAAGAATACCTAAAAGTATTCTTTAATTAATCCATGTGTCAATGTACATTTAATTGTTCGTCTAATTGTTGTGGATTTATGAATCAATATGAAAATGTTGAAAATCAAATCGAATTTAAGAAAATGGAACTAAATAGTGTGGTTTGAATCAATTTTCAATAAGTATTATTCACACGCATACACGTGTGATTCTGGCCTCAAGCACAGCTGAGAACCGGAACCGAAACGAGCAAATATGCTGCACACAAAAAATCAAAGATGTCACGTTCCCACTAGGCTTGCAGTAAACGTAGTCACCAAAACAACTTTGTCCACGAACTTAAAAATGGGAGCACAACAATCAACAATCTCAACAGAAAAGGTTCATTGCTTTTGTTTTGTTCCATACTAGACTTGTCCTTCACCTTTGCGGTCTGTTGTCGTCCATTTTCAACTGTTGACGGTGTTCTCATCGATCCCATGCCATCGAGCTCTGCCTTGGTCACTCTCGTTGAGAGAATCGTCATCGACAGTCCATGATTGATAACCCTCCTTCATTCCCTTTCTATTATTCGAGCCTTCATGTTCTCTCTCCCTTTTAACATTTCTCACGGTGCGTCGCGATGCGTATTTTTTCACTTTCCTCACTCTGGCATTACGCTTTTGCTTGCTTCGTGTCTTTCCCGAGATCGTTTTGAAGACCAAAGTTATCGTCGACTGCCCAAGTGAAAGTGCTAGTGCCATGAGGAAAGCTTTCGGGCCAGTGGCAAATAACAACGAAATTAAAATCGAAGGTAGCGTCCAACCATAGGATTTGAAAACCTACATTGATCAATGGAAAAAAGTATTGGCACCAACAGAAATGATTTACTGTAAATACAAATACATGTTCCATGAAATAGGAAGTATCGATAAAAGTAACAAACTTTACGATATATCGAATCGGGAAAAGAAAAACAAATTCTTTGGCAACGATTCATGTAAAATTGTTTTCCTATATATAGAGCATGATTTAGTACTAATTTTTCATCATATCAATAATAATAATATGATCACGTTATTTTTTTTGTTTTTATAACAAAAAAACATTTAATTATTTTGTATAAAAATATATCATTATTTATAAGAATTAAAAATAAATATATTTTAATTTATTAAAACTATGATCAAATTGAAAGAATATATAAATAACATGGACTATTTATGTAATTATATCATTCAGGTAAACCTATTAACTGCAGTTAATAGGCCACGTGTATTTTCCGTCACGCCTGTTAACGACGAGTGACTAATTTGTAACAAATGATAACGTTAGTGACCGATTTATAACTTTTGAAACATCAGTGGCGAAAACAAAAAACTTACCCAAACATTAGTGACCATTGGAGTAGTTTACCCTTATTTAAATTGTTATAAGAAGTTATTTTTAAAAGTTATAAAATAACTATAAATTTTTTAAATAAATATTAAATTTATTGAATTGTGATAAAAATGATCATTAAATTCTGCTGAGATATTATAAATTTATTTTTAAATTTATTAAATTTTTATAATTAAATATAATATTATAATAATCATCTTATAATAATTCCATAAATTTAATAACTAGGAATACCTTAACGAATATATTACTACGTAATTATCTGAATTCTAGGAGGTTTATAGATAATAATTGGGGACTAAAACCCATAATTTGCAGTGCTTGTTATACATAAAACAAAAGCATGTACAAACTAGAGCCATAGAAGAGATATACAGTTGAGGATGGATAGAAACTCATCACTAGAAGTGTACTAATCCTTGTTTATATAAATATGAGTAGGTAAAAGCTAGTAGATTATAACTAGTGAAGAACAAGTCTGTGAAACTCAGCCATGGCGGAGATTCAGTCGTCGAGCCCATCAAGCTGAAAACGTTGCCTGTAGGAGGTGGCCATGGAATCAACGTCTTCTTCTTCTTCCCGACCCCATCTTTCATTTCCATAGCCCTTCTGGTCGTAAAAGCTCGGTGACTTAAAGTAAGACACTACTAGCTTCTGTTGATGGAAACCGGTTGGTTGGTTGGTTGGTTGGACACCACTGGAATCGCCAAATAGTTTGTCTTTGCCATGTTCTGGTCGGTGTTTGAGATTGTGGAAACCACCTCGGGTTTGGTCACGACTCGACAGAAAGACATCGGTAGCTTGCTTCTGAAGAGCCCTTTCTTCCCACTGGTCTCCATTATAGTGTTATCAACCGACGGAGCCTGAGCTAAGAAGAAGAAGATGAGGAGAATATGGTTTTTCTTTTCTGGCTTGGTTTCTTGCCATCATTTGAGGCGGAACTGATGCCAAAACATATTTATTTCTTTTTTCTTCTTAATTTGATTTTTCTCGAACTCGGCAAAACTCAAATTAAAATATTAACTTATCTTACTCTAACTTAAAATCTCCATCGTCTAATCAATGTTGTACCATGATAAGGTCAATAAAAATTTATAAGATAAGTAAAATAAAAATTAAAAGGGAAAGAAAATAATTACATCGGAAAAAGAAAATTTAAACCATGGAAAGGACAAGAGAGAAATTGAGATATTAACCTATATCAGAAAAAAAAATCTGAAAGTTTTAAGTGGTGGCTTTGTACATCACTCGATCACATTGTCTTGATAGACGATATCCAATCTTTTATGTTTTTTGTTGTTTTGTTAAATTTTCTTGGACTGTGATTCGTTATACATGCAATAGTTTTAAGCCTTTTTTATAATTATTCTATATTCTTTTTTTGTAGACTTCATATATTCGAATTCGGTTCAAATTTTAAAATTTCCAGATCGAATTGAAATGACACGAAAGACTCTTCAGTCAATTCGGAGACCTGGAAAACCCCATCTCTATGAACATAAAATTGTAATCAAGCAGGAAATAAACTCTTTACGCTTGCTGTCCGTTTGATCCTCCCGTCTGTTGTGGCAACACATTTGTTGCGCTACGAGTTCTTGTGAGAAAAGGAAAAGAAGCGTTTCGACCGGAAAACATTGTCCCAAAGAAACCAGGGCTTGAAGAGCCATTGGCGCTGCCTTCGGGAATTCGGTTCCCATTTCCAACATAATGGCTGCTTGATTCACTTACGTCCTGAAAACCAGTGAGATGTAACCATTGAAGCCATATAGGATGTGCATTTGATGCCAATTGTTATAAGTGAATGAAAAGGGTTAAAACCTTAAGACCGGAAGCAGAGATTGCAGTTTTCGGAGATCTCTGAACCTGTCGGAAGACAAATCAAGGAGAAGGGTTTATTCATGGGAAGAAATTTTGTTTTAGATCAAGAAATTGGTTCGGACTGATCCATGATTCTCAACTATGTTACTTGAGTGTGATTGTCGGGTATAATGTAAGTCACACCTTTCCCTATAAAAATATACGCGGAACCAAATTACTCGAGAACTGACCTTGGGAGTTCCATTGGAATCAGAAGGATTTGGAGCTCGTGATGGCGATGGCGACTCTACTGGTACAATGAGGGGTGAATACCCACTCTGCTTAAACACAAAGAAAAGACTTGTTAAAACACAACTGGAAGTTTCAACCACTTGGTTAGCACAAACTGAATCTTAACATCATTCAAATAAACCAGATATGAAAAATAAGAAAAGGATTGCTTTCAATATCATGTATCCATCTCATTTCTCATTAACAAGCCTAAGATCGATTGACGAATATTTGGTCGAACAAATTTGAAACGAACTGCTGAGTTTTATTATTTATTTTCCAAGCAAGTAATCTTTTACCAGACCAAGCATTAAAGAGGAAAAAAAATCTAACCCTTGACGGTGTTTTCGTAGGGGCTTCAAGAGCTGGCCTGGAGGAGCTGGCTGGTGAAGCCTGCAAGAGTGAAATAACACTCAGCACGATGAAACATGAGCATAGGATCTAAAAACAAACAGTAGAACAGTGATTGTCATCAAGAAGAATAATGGTTGGTTCTTACGGTATAGCTTCATGTGTAAGTACACCACAATCAATTCATTAGCATAATGAAATTTTGATGGATGAAAGAAAGAGATCTAATGGGAAACACATAGTTCATTGCAGATCAGATACATAACATAACAAACCTGAATGCGATCAATGGGTATATTTTGTTCCATAGTCTGCGCATAATTACACAACCAGTTCACTCCTTCGTTTGTCATATCCTATGAAGATGATAGAAAACCATATAAATTAACAAAAGCAAAGGCAACAGTCATGACTCATGTTCATATTGCACTCTGTATTTTTGTTTAATGCAAGAATTACCTGCTTCCCTTCTATTCTTTTAATCTTACTTTCCTGCATATTGAACCCCCCACCCCACCCCAAACACACACACATACAAATAGAAAGGTCATCTCAGTTTCACATCTAGAAAGTATAACATACAGCAAAATCAATTCTTCAAATTATTAAATACGCTTACCAGATTTTGAACTACATAACGAACAGATTGAACATTGCTGTTGAGCATCTTTGATTTATCTTGTATCAGAGAAACCTATACAACTCGTTCAATTTTCAGTGAATAACAATGAGTCCTCCTATGCATGTAACTTAAGCTACTACTACAATCTTATATCTCACCTCCTCTTGAGTAGTAGCAGTAATATCAGCAATTGCATCCAGATGATTGTCCACACTCTCAATTCTCGAGGATAGATGCCGTCTGGTAACCTAGAAGGGAACAAGAAAAGAGAAGAAAAGGGCCAGGGGAGAATTCAGTCAATTTCTAGGAAAAACCTCGACATAAATATGGAAGCCAAAATCATGTAATTTGGTACTTGAAACCTTCATATACTGTAACCATTCATGGATTTTGGTAGTGTACAAATTTAAATGATAAAAGTTAATGCTAGTACAAGAAACACTTGCCGAGATTGACGAGTAAACACTCTCAAGCTGCTTGGCTATGGCTTCACGTGCATCAGATAAACTACGCTTTGTTGCAAACATTATATCAGGAAGTCTCCAACCCTGAAACCAGTTAAGGAATATAACTTATAGCCAAGTGTAATTATGCATTTTTTTATGCAAGTAGTTTATTTGAATGTTTATCTGTGCAGACTTCCAATACTTCTCTGGAACACATTGTAAACTCTTATGGTGAAAAATTTCAGTGCTAATACGTAACCATCAATCCATCAGCTCTAATTGTTGGGTCTGTCATACTCACTCCGAATTAAATTCTCACCAACTGCTCAAATTTCAAAGACTTGATTTGTTGCAAGATCCATACCATGTCCAAGTGGCAAAACAATTGTCATTGATCTTAAATTTAAAAAAATTACTCGCTGGAGAAAAAGTCAGGATTAATGAGAAAAGCAATGAACTCTATAAGCGTATAAAAAGAAATATAACAAACCAACCGAAAGAAAAGAACAGGTTTCTTGAACTTCGCAAAGCCATCTACCAAAGAAAATGCAAATGTGCCAGAAATTTTCATGTGGCTCAATAATCACAGATTTCAACCATCTTTTTAGTTTGCTCCCTAATAACCTAAGCACATAAATACACTCAAAAGGAATAAAAGTTCATTACCTTCCACCAAACATAGCCATATCCAACTACGACAACAACGATGATTATACTGTATTTACTGGTACCTGCAAGTGACAAATACATTCCCCAAAATAATGCTCAGGAACTGGATAGTGTTGAATATAATTGATACATATTGAAAGTTATCATATATAAAAAATTAGTAAGAATATAAAAGGATAGTCATTATTTACTCATTTGTGTGGAACTACAGGTCCATATTAGTTGTGCATATTACATAAAAGCATGACAAGAACATAAAATTTGGAATAATTTTGCTAATAATTCTAGTTAGAAGATGTCTCATTTATTGCAAATTTGCAAGATTAAGAATGGAAACAATCATAACCTGTTCCACGTCCAGTAACAATTGTAATTGGTCTGTTTGAAGCCAAGATTTGTAGTTCCTGCCTTAGACTATTAACCTATAAATGAAAAAAAAAAGTTAAAAATAATATATAAGGATAATAGAGAGTTGTCATCGCTGATATGATATACACAGAATTAATAACAAAAATGTCATAAATGCTTAACATTATCAATCATATATTGCTCAAGAAAGTAACAAAAGCATGAAAATACATAGGATAACCAATAATGTACATTAACTTAATCTGCCAATTTTCCACAATTCATGCTATTTTTTTGGCCATATATATATATATATTGTGATTCAAATGAAAATAAAAATTTATACTCTTGTAAAATTGCCATGCAGTCACCCAGTGACAGTAAATTAAAATTTCATAATAAATTAATTTTCAAGGCATTTGCAACCTACTGCCATCATTAAAGAAAGGTTATATTTGCAATCATCCATAATGAAATAGAACTTCATAAAAAAGCATTTTTCATCATTTTCCAGTTGGCATTTTGGTTTTCAACCATAAAAATCAAACAAGCAAAAATACTTCTAAATATCAGAAACACAAACAATTGTCAATTTAGTAGATACTCAGATTATTATTCAGCACTCATAATCAACATAGAAGATCAAATACAAACCTGAGCCACCAAATAGTCATTGCGTGGCTTGTTTCCAGACGGTGTAGTGTCAGCATGCTTAAGTTGCCGATAAGCAATCTGCAACAGGAGACAAATAATTACCAATTCAGGAATAAAGTAAATGCACAATCATCTCAGAATCACATATTTTAAGGAACACAAACAAAAGTCTTTAGTTTTAAGTCATGGCTCAGAAAAGTGGAAAAATACCTTGAAAGCGCCAGAGACAAAATCAGAAACACTTGATATGCCTCCTTCTTTAGCAAGAATTGAGCCAACAATTCCTAAAAAAAAAAAAATGGCTAATTTAAGTAGAGGCATATCAAAATGGTTAACTATATTACTCTTCTAAAAGGGAATACTCATTAAAGTAATAACATCTTCAGCCCCTAATTTGGACTATCCTACTTCCATGCAATTCACATGGTTCAACAAGCCATCAATATTTCACAAAAGGTGAAACTTTTAGTTCTCAGAATTTTTTAACCCGTTTTATTTTGGTAGTTCAACCCCCATCTTAGGATTCGTCCACCACAACGTTTTTACAAAGGATTATGTATGGAAAATCTTTCTATAAAAAAATGTATGGAAAATCTTGAAACTGTAGTGTTTCTAAATTTTAATGCCAAAAATCATACGAACGAGATACATGGCTAAATTGGTAGCTGCATGACTTCTCTGAAGAGGAATACATATTAAAATAGTAACATGTTCAAATATGGACATGCTATTTTGAACATAATCATCAATGCAATGATTCATCTAACCAGTTCATCCATTAAGAACACGAAAAAGTAAATCCCCCGTGTGCTTACTGTCTCATATCATAACAAGTAGATAGGACCATTCTCCACTGGTATAAAAAATGTTTCACAATCAGATTGCTAAATCGTTGTTTTAAGGACATTTACGAATTAATCGAAAATTCAAGCCCACTGGCCTCGTTGTTTCTAACAATTTCCAGCAAGTGGATCATCTTTCAGCTAACAAAAACAAGATTCCATTTTTGCAATCCAATTAACATCCCAGTACCACAACAATGATCCAGCTCCCCAATACACTATCTAATAGAGCACTAAAGCGTAACTTTACCGGAGCACACATTTCTTACAGATTCACAATCAATCTAAACACTGAACAACATTAGTCCCGACAACAAAACACCACTCCAGATCGAACACTAAACTTAGTTTCACTAAACCAAACAAAACCCGATTGCACGGAACAATAACTGATCCGTCAGTCAAAAGGAAAAAGAAAAAGAAAAATTGGAGAAGAGAGATGATTGGGCAGACCTGCACCAACGAGGATAGTTAACTTGCCAAGAGGAAGAGCCATGGTCGACAACGGTTTGAACCGTATGTTTGTACGTTGTGAGCGTATATACGGGGAGAATAGAGACGACTGCTAAAGTACCGTGAAACAAAAATTACAGAACAAAGAAACGAAATTGGTTTTTTAAAATTACAAATTAATTAGTATTTTCCAGTGATTACTGGGTTTTCTGATTGCTTTGTTGTTTGAATTGAGGTAATTTACGAGTTCGATTACATGGTTAGCATTTAGCAACGTATACAACCCCTCGTCGCCGGTTTTATTTACTTACTAGACTAGGGTAAACTACATAACTAGTTGTTCGAGTTTATCAATATTTTCGTTTTAGTCACTAATATTTGAAAAATATATTTTGAGCACTAACCTTATTAAATTAAATAACCCCGTAATTTGAACAATTTACACTTTGTTTTTTTTATTAATCAGTCCTTTTCTCAAATAAAATTAAAATCTAGATAATATTACGTTATGTAACAATAATAATTTAATAAAATATAGTTTTAAATAGTGTCATAGGCCGTGAGTCCAAGATCGAGACTAGTATACATTGAGCTGCCCAAGACATCATTAATATGATATTGGACTTATCCAATCTCATTCCCTTCCTTTGAAGAATGCTAAAAAGCTCACGACAAGAAAAGACATTTGATTTGATGTCCATAAAATATTCTTTTTGATTTCTTTCGTAATTAATGTAATCTCTCATATATATAATGTAATGATAGATATGATATAATTTCCTTAAATAGGGAGATTATGTAAATATGATTCAACCTTAATCGTCGATATAATTAATTATGAGTATTAGATGTAAGGAGGCATTTTCCCACCTCATTCGAACACTGAATTTTGAGGAATACAACTTAACGTTTTCTTTTGTGTGCAATATTCCCGTTCTTTGTTTTCGTGTCTGCATTCAACTAAACCTTTGGTTTGGATTTTCAGGTATACTTGAAGCACTCACACTAACCAAATAACGTTTAAGGACCATTAGGGAGACTAACATGATGACAATAATCTTACGTTCCGAATAATAAAATATTCTCGATAATCTTATTTCATAATCTTACATTATATAATTTCTTCTTTCAATTATAATCTCAAGCCACATTAATTTTGATACTAAAACTTTTATACAACAATGGTCCTTTTCCTGAAGTTACAAATACAATCATAGTTCTATCCAACGAATTGAAATTTAAACAAAGAATAAAATCTCAACTGAAAACTGAAAGATATTACGTTATGGCGTAATTCAAACTTAGTATACCTAGACTTGATTTGACGCCTAAATACAACTGCATCTTATTGCCAAAACCGAACCAAAGCATACCACATAGGATGAGATATTTTATTTATTTTTTAGCAATTAATTGATGAAAGTGTATGATCCATTAAATCTTTAATCTATGATCTAAATAAAATAAAATAAAAAATCTAAAATACAGCATTTATTTGAACCCAACCATCTCTGCAAAATTCAGCACCCACTCCAGTTTAACTTTTAGTAGACCTATCAAATGGAAGGATGAGTCACTTCGGATTTTAAAATTTCCAGGTCAAATTGAAGGGAACTGAAGAGTCTTTAAGACAATCCTGAGGCCTGGAAAGCTCATCTATACCAATCAAGCAGAAAATAAGATGTTTACTGTTGTTGTCCACTTGATCCTCTCATCTGTTGTAGCACAGCATTAGTTGCGCTGCGAGTTCTTGCGAGGAAATGAAAAGAACTAGTCCGTCCGGAAAACATTGTCTCAAAGAAACCAGAACTTGAGGAGCCATTGGTATTGTCTTCTGGAGTCCGATTCACGTTGCTGACATCATGGCTGTTTGATTCACCTACTTCCTGAAAACCAGATATGTAATGTAACCATTGAAACCATCAAAAGGACACACTGATACCAATTGTTACAGAGAGACATAGGGTTAAAACCTTAAGGCCAGAGCTGGATATTGCATTTCTCGGAGATCTCTTAACCTGCCAGAAACCAAATGGGAGAGTAAGGATTTACTTAAAGGGACGAAAACTTGTTCTAGATGAACCATTTGGTTTTGGACTTGATGCCATGATTTGATTCCAATCTATGTAGCTCAAAGTTAAGTGTGAGTGTCGTAGGTAAATTCATTTTTTTCTAAATTTTCGGAGGATTCTCCGGGTCATATTTACATACATGTCTGTGATGAAAAGTCGGAGCAACATAGATTGCAAAGACCAATTTATAAGTGGAATCAAATTTCTCAATGCATACAGAGATAAACATGACAAAAATCATTAACAATATAGTGTAAAAATTGATGACATATAAGTCTTATTGTTGAGTAAAGATTAAATAAAAGGCCAGATATGAGACAACCAAAAATCTGCTATTGCATAGGTTTTTCTTATAACATTGCCACCCTTCCCCTTCATTTTACAGAACTACTTCAGTAATACTCTGTTTTCTTAAATCTCATAATTCAGGATTCTGTGAAGTCAACTAACCTTGGGAGTCCCATTGGAATCTGGTGATGGAGATAATGATGGCAATTCTACTGGTACAATGGGAGGCAAAGATCCACTCTGCTTAAACACAAAGAAAATACTTGTTAGAAAACAACAGGTAGTTTCAACATCTGATTTATCATTTGCGAGCCTGATATTTACTGACCCATGATTTTTTTTTTTTGGATAAATACTGACCCATGATATATCATTTGAACCAAACTTCCAAGTTCCATTATTTAATTTCAGAGCAAGTAATCATTCATCAGACCATGCATTAAAGAGAAAAAGAATCTGACCCTAGACGGTGATTTCTTTGGGGCTTCAAGAGCTGGTCTGGAGGAGCTTGCGGATGAAGCCTGCAAGAGTTAAATAACACCCAGGGTGATGAACATTGAGCATAAGAACCAACATGAAAGCCAACGTCTAAAATAAGTGAATATAAAAACACAGCAGTAGAAATGTGATTGTGATTGGCAGTGATCCAAAAGAAAAATAATCATCTGTTCATAGGTTTAGCTTCATGCTCAATCATACCACAATATATTCATTAGCAATAGCATAACAAAATCTTGACAAATAGATACCACTGAAAGAAAGAGAGATAATGCAAAACATATAGTTCATCAGATCAGATGCATAACATAAACAAACCTGGATACGATCGGTGGGTTTATTCCGTTCCATAGTCTGGGCATAATCACACAACCAGTTTACTCCTTCGTTTGTCATATCCTATGAAGATGATAGAAAAACATACACATTAATAAAAGCAATGAAAACAGTCACGAATCTCGTTTAAATTGCACTCTGTATTTTTGTTTAATGTAAGAATTACCTGCTTCCCTTCTATTCTTTTAATCTTACTTTCCTGCATATCAACCCCACAAACAAAAAAGAGAGAGAAGGTCGTCTTAGTTTCACATCTAAAAAGTATAACATGCAACAAAATCAATTCTTAAAATTACCAAACAGGCTTACCAGAGTTTGGACAACATAGCGAACGGATTGAACATTGGTGTTGAGCATCTTCGATTTATCTTGTATCAGAGAAACCTAAAAAAACTCAATCAATTGTCAGTGAATAAAAATGGGACCGATACATAAAACTTAAGCTTCTACTACAATTTTTTATCTCACCTCCTTTCGTGTAGTAGCAGTAATTTCAGCAATTTCATCCAGACGATTATCCACGCTCTCAATTCTTGAGGATAGCTGCCGTCTGGTAACCTAGAAGGAAACAAAGAAAAATTTTTGAAAAAAGGAAGAGGGTCAAAGGAGAGTTTGGTCAATTTCTAGGAAAAACATATATATATATGGATGCCAAAATCATGTACTTTGGTACTTAAAACCTTCATGGAATGACCATTCATAGATGTAAGCAGTGTATGAACAAATTTAAATGAGAAGTTATGCAGTAAAAGAAACACTTGCCGAGATGGACGAATAAACACTCTCAAGCTGCTTCGCTATGGCGTCACGTGCATCAGATAAACTACGCCTCGTTGCAAACATCATATCAGGAAGTCGCCAACCCTGAAACCAGTCAAGGAATATAAATTATATCCAAGAGTAAAGACACATGTTTTACGCAAACCATTTATTTGAATGTTTATCGAAGCAATACTTCCAATACTTCTCTGGATCACATCTTAAACTCTTGTGAAAATTTTTCAGTGCTAATATGTATGTATAACCATCAATCCATCAGCTTCAATTGCTGAGACTGTCATCCATCACTCCTAATAAAATTCTCAGACCAACTGCTCAAATTTCAAAGACTTAATTTGATGCAAGATCTATACCATGTCCAAGTGGCAAAACAATTTCTCATCGATCTTAAATCTACACAAAATACTTATTGGAGAAAAAGTAGGGATTAATGAGAAAAACAATGAACTCTATAAGTGTATAAAATGAAATATAACAACCCAACTGAAAGCAAAGAAAAGGTTTCTTGAACTTGGCAAAGCAATCTACCATGGCCGATAAGAAAAGGCAAATGTGACAAATTTTTATGCAGATCAGTTATCACAGAATACAACCATGTTATTAGTTTGCTCCCTAACAATCTACACACATAAGTACATTCAGAAGGGAATAAAAGTTCATTACCTTCCACCAAACATAGCCATATCCAACTACAACAACAACAATAATTATGCCGTATTTACTGGTACCTGCATTCAACAAAAACATTCCCCAAAATAATGCTCAGGAACTGGATAGTGTTGAATATAATTTATCTACAGTGGAAGTTATCATGTCTCCAACAAAATTATGAATACTAATAAAACTTTATTTGATCATTTGTAGAGAACTATGGATCCAAAATAGTCGTGCATATTGCATGAAAGGATGACAAGAAAATAAAATTTGGAATAATATTGTTAAAATTTCTAGTTAGAAAGTGTTTCATTTAGTGCAAGATACAACAATATTTTCCCCTTAAACTGTCAAAAAAATGGTAGCAATAATAACCTGTGCCACGTCCAGTAACAATTGTAATTGGTCTGTTTGATGCCAAGATTTGCAGTTCCTGCCTAAGGCTGTTAACCTGTAAACAAAAACAAGTAAAACAAGATATAATCATACAAATTTTAATACTAAAGCAAGTATCGAGAGGGAAGTAAGGTGTCATCACCAACAAAATGATAGGCACGCAGAATTAATAACAAAATGCATCATGATTGCTTAACATTA